TGCCTGCTGAGAAACGTTACAGGGGCACCTTGATGGGAACAACCAATGTAAGGGGGCACGCTGATAGGGACACCTAATGTAAGGGGACACTCTGATGGAACAACCAATGTAAGGGGACACTGATGGGGTTCAACTAATGCAAGAAAGCACTCTGATGGGGACACCTAATGTAAGGGGGGCACTCTGATGGGGACACCTAATGTAAGGGGGCACTCTGATGGGACAACTAATGCAAGAAGGCACTCTGATGGGGACAACCAATGTAAGGGGACACTGATGGAGACAACTAATGTAACGGGGAACTTTGATGGGGACAACCAATGTAAGGGGGGGCTCTGATGGGGATACCTAATGTAAGGGGGAACTTTGATGGGGACAGCCAATGTAAGGGGGGACTCTGATGGGGACACCTAAAGTAAGGGGGCACTCTGATGGGGACAACCAATGTAAGTGGACACTCTGATCTGGACAACTAATGTATGTGGACACTCTGATGGGGATAACTAATGTAAGGGGACACTCTGATGGGGACAACTAATGTAAGGGGACACTCTGATGGGGACAACTAATGTAAGGGGACACTCTGATGGGGACAACTAATGTAAGGGGACACTCTGATGGGGACAACTAATGTAAGGGGACACTCTGATGGGGACAACTAATGTAAGGGGACACTCTGATGGGGACAACTAATGTAAGGGGACACTCTGATGGGGACAACTAATGTAAGGGGACACTCTGATGGGGACAAATAATGTAAGGGGACACTCAGATGGGGACAACTAATGTAAGGGGACACTCAGATGGGGACACCTAATGTAAGGGGGCAGTCTGATGGGGACACCTAATGTGAGGGGGCACCCTGAAGTGGACAACCAATGTAAGGGGGCACCTTGATGGGGACACCTAATGTAAGGGGGCAGTCTGATGGGGACACCTAATGTGAGGGGGCACTCTGATCAGGACAACTAATGTGAGGGGGCACTCTGATGTGGTTGGAATATGGATGTGTACCCATGCTATGTGGGACACTGAGAGCTGATGATTTGCAGTTAGTGGAGGTCAATGTTGATCGGCAATGTGGTCAGAAACAAGAGACTGGACTGTAGAAACCTAAACATGAGTCCACAGATCAGAAAGACATACCTGCCTCATTTTGTTCCGCACATTGCAAGGCAGGGCGTGAATTGTTTATTACGTGTAATGTGATGTGTTTAGAAGAAGGTGTGTTTGTTTACTCTGTGTCGTGGTTCTACTGACAATGATTGGCAGCTCCCTGTAAAACACTTCCACAGTGCATTGTCATACACTGCAATATTACATGACTAATGACGTATGTGAGTGCATGGTAAAAGTGTCACACATATTGTTTCACTTAACACATTATTGTAAAGTGCAACTGAAGGCCAAACTTTTTTTTTTTTTTTAGTTTTGGATGGAATGGAGAGGGGTTAGAAAATCTATCAGGTCTTTCTTGCTGTTTGTGTCCCCATTAGGTAGAGTCACCCTTTGTATTTGTCTTGGTGATTGTTATCACTGAAAGTAAAAGGAAATCCCACATTTTGGATTGTCATCAGAATAGGAACAGATGCAAAATCTTCCAATGCTGCTGACCAGCAGGGATTTCCCTCACTTCCTGTTGTGGCTGGTGGACAGGAAGTGAAGGGAAATCTCCCCAATAGGACACAGATGGCAAAATATCCTAAAAATAGTATTACAGTGTGTTTTATTGATCCAAAACTCTTACATGTATTGTCCCCCGTACATTATACAGGCTCACTTGTTTACTGTATGGACTATGCCGGCGTGGGCAACCTCGGCATCCAGCTGTGCTGAAACTACAAATCCCATCATGTCTCTGCCCAGGAGTCATACATGTTGCTATCACACTCATGCATTGCCTCATGGGAGTTGTAGTTCTACAACAGCTGGACGAGGTTGCCTACCACTATACAATATCACAGTCAAGGCTAGCAGCATTTATTTGTGTGCTCACGTGCTTAAACTTGCATTGCAGCTACATTAAAGTATAGTTCAAGCCAAAACTTTTGTTTTATTTTTAAGAAGTAGGGGAGGGTGAAAAACACTGCCAGTTTTATTTTTTTATTTGTCATCTGTGTCTCATTTTCCTTCACCTCCTGTCTTGTGGATTCAACAGGAAGTGAGAGGATATCTTTTCAATGTAAGGGAATTTCCCTCTTAAGGTGCGTGCCCACACACCTTACAATTATCTGCAGATTTTCTGTGGTCAGATGGAAAAAGTGCAACAGATTGGCCCAGGTGGAGATTACTCCATCCACACAGTTAAGTGTAGATGGAGGAATCTGTTGCACCTTTTCCATCTGACCACAGAAAATCTATACGTGTATGGCCAGCTTTATTCTTTCAGCAGATACATACAGGTTAAAGGAGAACTATGGGGTCAGTGTTTTTCCCCATAGTTCTCCTTAGGGTAACGGGAGGACACAAACTAGCGTCCTCCCGTTACCCTAAGCTCAGTATACCGGGATACTAAGACGCCGCAGCGGATCCCGACATCGATGTCGAGATCCGCCCAGCTGCGTGACTGACAGCTGGCTCTGCCTATCCCTCAGAGCCAGCTGTACCCTGTACAGCGGTGCCTGTTAACATACAAGCGATCCGCCGGCTGTAGAGCCGTCGGATTGCTTGTATTACTGCAATGAACTGGAGCAGGTTCACGGAATTGGAGACATCACACATCCACGAAATTGGTGAAGACGTCAGCATGCCGATAACTTGCAGTGAAAGTCTTGACTTATCAAGGGCCGTGTCACATTTTTTGCAGTGTGATGCATTGTGGTAATGCGAGTGTTATTCATCTTGCAATGCAGTTCCAACACACATGTGCTATAGTGCACTACACAGTCTAGGGGCTCACATGAAAAGGGGATTTTTTTGCTCTACTTTGACTGGGAGCAGGACCGGGAGACCCGGGCATCATTACTGCTGGGCAGTGCTGGAGTCTACACTGTGGCCACTCTGATTTAAAAGGCGGGCGGACTTTAATAAGCCGCTGCAGCACTTTGTGGGTGCTGTGTGACATCTGCAAGCTGCTGGGCTTCATGAAATGCGGGTCAGACTATCTGTTCGTGGATAAGAGTGGCTACCTGGGTGCTGCCCCGGTCCTGAAACAGAAGCTGGGCATGGAGGTAAGAGAGTGGATGTCCCCGATCTCTGGGCACTGTGCATACAAATGGACGGCAGGGTAGAATGGGCAATGCAAGACGGTACAAACTGAGCACCTCATATCACGAGAGGAGGTACAAACTGGGCATCTCATATCATGCACGGGGGTACAAACTGGGCATCTCATATCATGCACGGGGATACAAACTGGGCATCTCATACCATGCATTGGGTTCTGACCGAGCATCTCATATCATGCACGGGGGTACAAACTGGGCATCTCATACCATGCATTGAGTTCTGACCGAGCATCTCATATCATGCACGGGGGTACAAACTGGGCATCTCATACCATGCATTGAGTTCTACCGCAAGGCAAGGCAAGCGGCCTCCTGAGGGCGCTGCAGGGTGAGGGCGGAAAAAAACTCATACCATGCAAAGGGGTGCAAACTGGGCATCTCAAGTTATACAAGTTATACTAAAGGTTTTCTAGTACTGAAGGCTTCACTATGGTGATAAGCTAGACTTTCTTTTCATTGTTACATTTGTTTGTTTGTTTACCTATGTATTGTTCACGTATTTACTGCTGCCAAGATTACCTTAGCGAGTCAGTCTTATCTATGTTATATTACATTGTTCATGTTGTGTGATCTATTTAGGTGGGAGGTAAGGGAGAGATGAAGAAGGGGGGGCCCACTATTGTATTTTTTCCCCGGGGCCCACCAGAGCCTGAAATCGGCCCTGACTTAGGGTTGCCACCTTTTCTTCAAGCGAAACCTGAACACTTTAGCGATGCGGGGACATTTTTTTGGGGAGAATGAGTCGCGGCTTATTCATATGTAAATAACGCCACCCAGTCATATGTAAATATCACAGTTGAGACTATTTTCAGTGGGGGGCCATTAGCCCCTATCTTAATTTTGGTTGCCCCTGTCTGCCTGACATCCTGTGTTTGGGGTTTTGCTGCCATGAAACCTGGACACAGCATTCAAAACCCAGACTGTCGGGTGAATCCTGCCAGGTGGCAACCCCACCCTGACTGCATCAGAAAAAATACCACATGTACATTTTTGCTCGTTGTTGTGCATTGGAAATCCATTTATAATAAATGGGCAACCTTAAAGCAACGCACGTCAAAGCGTGAATCGGCCCTAAAGCTTGGTTCCTCCGTGTTGTACTGTGGTAGCGTGTTGCATGTTGGTGTGCTGCGGTGCCATTCATTGTTCATTAGGGTGCGCCACAACACAGGTGATGCGCACTGTGGTAAACTTTGTTATTAAAAAAATGACCTTCAGTTTGTTGCGTTAGTCCATTCAAATGAATGGGCTTCCCTAACAATGCACGTTATCGCACACGTGCGTAACAGCATAAACCCAACAGCAATGGTGTTTTAGGCCACGCATGACACAAGATATAGCACTCAAAGGCGGGGAACCCCAATGCTATCCTGTGATGTGCCGTGTCCCTGATCTTGAGAGGCGTAAACATGGCTGGACAGCGTCCACATTGATCCTGGACAACTCTAATATATTGTGTTCAAGCTGCTGTAAACATCTTGTATTTCCTCTGTTTTGGATTATCAAGCTGCTGAGAGAAGTAAATCCACTGCATGTATTATACTATTATAATATCAGCTGCCACGTCATACAGGCATTCCATCCACAGCACATCCTAGGAGTGTGACGTCACCGGGGGCTTGGCTGGGGCTGGTCATGTCACATGACTCGCTCCCCTGACCCCCCCCAGGAATGAACGGTGTGCATGCGCACTACGCACGGGGAGCGGCGGCGACACGCAGGGGAGCGGACACGCAGACCTGCTATACCTGTTTGCGTCTCCACGGATTCCCCACACACATTCTAACACACTGATACAGCTGGAATATAGCACCGCCCTGCCATGTGACCTGTGACGTCTTCTGACTCCCCGCCCCTTTGCTAAAAAGCTCCTTTCTAGCATCTGAACCACGTCACATGCGGACATGCAACCCGGCTTTCACGGAGACAGCACAGCTAAGGTAGAAGAGACTTTACATCGTGGTTCGGTGGTATGGCATGTGGTATCCGCTACAGAGGGGCAGTGACATAGCATGGGGTATCCTCTCCCGAAGGGCAGTGTCTTGGCATGGGATACCCTCTACAGAGGGGCACTGACATGGCATGGGTTACCCTCTACAGAGGGGCACTGACATGGCATGGGTTACCCTCCACAGAGGGGCACTGACATGGCATGGGTTACCCTTTACAGAGGGGCAGTGACATGGAATGGGGTGTCATCTACACAGGGGCAGTGACATGACATGGGGTATCCTCTACAGAGGGGCAGTGACATGTCATGGGGTATCCTCTACAGAGGGGCAATTACATGGGGTATCCTCTACAGAGGGGCAGTGACATGACATGGGGGATCCTCTACAGAGGGGCAGTGACATGACATGGGGGATCCTCTACAGAGGGGCAGTGACATGACATGGG